AAGGTCTCCCTGTAGCCCCAGCTGTCCTGGAACTCACTATGTAGACCAAGTTGGCTTTGAGCTCACTGAAATCTACCTGCCTCTGCCTCCCAAGTGCTGCGATTAAAGGCGTGTGCCACCACACCTGGCGCTCTCTGTCCTCATGCTTTATACCACCTCCAGATTACTTGTACTTAATATAATGCCAACGCTATATAAATGGCCACTAAATCGTACTATAGATGAAAAACTATAAGGAAAAAGTTTCCCTGTTCAGTGGACATCCTTCCCCTATGCAGTACTTTTAAGTTCTTGACTGAATCCATTGAGCTAGAAACAATGGATATGAAAGGCACACTGTAGTGTTGACCCAAAAGTAAAAACCAAACAGTTGACCATGGGGCAGTATGGTTAACTAGAACGGTTAAGAGACTGAGAAAAAAATATGTCGAAAAAGTCCGAGTGATACTAAAGCAAACCTCAACCTTCAGAGAACTAGAAGGAAGGCTTCACAGAAAAGAGCAAGTTATAATCACTGAGCACAGCAGCACCTGCCTATAACCCCAGCATTTGAAAACTAGAAGCAGAAGAACCAGCTCAGGGCTATCCTTAGCTACAGAGCAAATCTGAGGTCAGCCTGGGCTATATGAGACCCTTGTGTTGTGTGTGTGTTGGGGGGGGGTAGTTCAACTGTTTCTATCTAAAGGAGGCTGAAAAACGTGGGCTCAGGGCAATGGCCAAGCAGCTCTCATACTTCCCTAAAAGAAGCTCAAAGCTTTGCACACTGGTCTTTCCCTGAGTGTTTTGTAGGACTAGATGAATGTGCTGAATCAGCAAGTGGCACACTATGCTTGGAGAGGAATGAGGCATGTTAATCTGCTGAGTAACTAGGTCTTTCATGAATTTATCTCATGGGTCTATGAAGGTGCCACCAGTAAACATGCCACAGTCAAAGAAGCCGGAAAAGAGCACCAAAGCCAAAGGACCTTCACATCTTCCAGCCAAGGTAGCCTGGGCTCCGAGGGCCTGATACAAAGGTAATACTGGGAGCCAAGATGAAGGGTCAGATTAGGATCTTTTCCAAAAGGAAAAAAAGACAAAGACAAATGGGTAAATCTCCCTCATATACTAAAGCCATCCTTTCCCAAGCCATCCGACCATAAGACCATAAAGGCAAAGCAGGCACTCCAGATGTTCCAAAGCATCCCAGCATGAAACCACGTGAATTCTAGGGCTCTAACTAAGTCCTCAGGCCTGGCTCCAAGGACCTTAACCAGCAGAGCCACCTTGCCAACCCCAGATCTGATCTTTGGTCCCTATCAGCAGAGCATCTGAGCAATGCTCCACAGTAGAAACTCTTCCAGTGTATACCAGAGGGAACTTCTCCATATAGCATTACCCCAAGGATCCTCAACTCAGGCTACCCTTCCAGCCTTAGTCTCATCTATGGGCTGGCTAATGAACAGATAATATACCTGCTCTCACTAATGAGCTAGTCAAACTCAATTTTCTGGGATCATGCATCTTGACAATGAGATGCAGCACCTTGTTTGTGAGTTGCAGCGGAAGTCCTATATTGTAGACCCCATTCAACCACCTTTTTTCAAGACTGTGAAGAAAAACTGATCAATGGCTGTTGGGCCCCAAGGAAAAGGAAGAAAATCAAGCCCTGCTACAAAAGCAATGCTCTAAAAAAGGCAGAAAAACAGACCATTAAGTGGGCCCAAGGAAGTTTAACCTTCATAAGGTAACCAAGTCACCAGGTTCCACAGCAGGGTGGGGGTACAGCAAAGCACACCTATAATCCCAGTACTCAGGAGGTGGAGGTAGGAGGATTAGGAAGTTGTTCAAGCCAGCCTCAGTCACAGGAGATTTTAAACAAACAAAAATGGGTATCGGTAAAGGAAGATGGATTTACTTTAGAGCTTGGCCAAACAGGAAGGAACTAAATTTCTTTCCACTGTGTCTGTGGCAGTTTTGTAATTATAGAAAATCATGAAATAAAAGCCAGAAATGCATAGACTTTGCTATGCGACAGCTTAGTTGGTTCTTTCCTGAAGTAGGGAGATCAGGCCTCAGGTTGCAGTTTCAGCAGGTAGTTTAGCCTCAGTAGGCTGCCTCCTGCTGCTCCCTCTGGTCTCATTTTCACACTGTTTAACAGTTAAAATCTACACAGCCAGCTTCCTTAGCTGTCCAGCTTCCTTAGCAGTTAAAGAAATGTGTTTCTGCTGGGCGTGGTGGCGCACGCCTTTAATCCCAGCACTGGGGAGGCAGAGGCAGGCGGATCTCTGTGAGTTCAAGGCCAGCCTGGTCTACAAAGTGAATTCCAGGACAGCTGGGGCTACAGAGAGACCTTGTCTCAAAAAGACCAAGTAGATAAATAAATAAAGAAAAAGAAATGTGTTTCCTTACAAAAATCACCTCCCCATAATAAAATCCACAGGATTTATGAGAAAAACAAGGAATTACAAGCCTAACATTCACCAACTTGGTCAATTTTCTGAATTATCCTGTTATTTCTCACAGATGAAGCTGTGTACAGCAGACTCAACTTTCCATTATGCTCAAACAGTTCCCTTTAAAGTTTTTTTATATTTATCAGGGCTGGAGAGATGGCTCAGCAGTTAAAGAGCACTTGCTGTTCTTGCAGAGGACCCCAGCACCTAACAATCGTGCATAACTCCAGTTCAAGGGGATTCCACGCCCCTTTCTGTCCTCTGCGGGTTCTGCATGACATGGTCCACTTACATACAAGCAGGCAACACTCATACACATTAAAAAAAAACAACAACAACCCACATTTATGTGTGTATGTGGGTGTCTGTGTGTACATCTCAAGAGTGCAGGTGCTAACAAAGGCCAGAGACAGATTCCTGGAGTTGGGAGTTACAGGCTGTTTTAAGCTGCTTGCTCAGGTCCTCTGGAAGAGCAAGTGTTCCTAACTAGTGAGCCATCTTGTTCCCTGTTATACCAGCCCATCACTGAACAAACATGTTTCCAAACAAGCATTTTAAAGTAGGGTTGTATTTTATTCCCGGTACCCTGGATGTCAATCACCTACTCTAGGCTCTTCCCTGTCGGAAAACTTTGTGTAGTGCTTTCTCCCAACTTGACGTGGGTTCCAGAAAGCAAACTCAAGTCGCCAGGCTTAAGCACCTTTTTGCATTATCACCTCGCCAGCCCTCAGTATTGTAATTCGACACACAGCAGGGGGTCCTGTAAACCCTGCCCCATTTCAGGGAATTGCCCACACTTCAAGGCCAGTCTTAAAGGTTATATGCATTTCTCCAATCTAGCTATCATCCCAACCCTCTTGAATTCACTACTTTTTAAGTTGCCCATCTTTAACTTAATAAACATAACTCTAAATCAAATACTTATCATGGGAGTCCACCGCCTTTAGCACACCCGGCAAAACAGATGAATAAGGATTTTTCCAGGGAAATTGCAATCAAATCATTAGGTTCATTAGATGATTGGAGGAAATGAGAGATATCTGGAAGACGTGGCACCATGATGCCCACCTTTCTGGTACTTTCTTCTCAAAGCAAAGACTTTCTAAAAAATACTCTCAATTAAGTTACTTCCCAGCTAAAGCTCAATGGTGCTGTCAACAGACGGTCAAGTCCATCCGTACACAGAATAAATTCAAACTCCTTAACGCAGAGGCACAACAATGACCTTAATTCACCAGGCTGTCTCTTGACCCACTTCATCTATCTTCCAACTACTGTCATTTCCTCCCCTCAGTTCCAGAAGGGGCGGCACCAGGCCTGCTGTGTACACGCCACAGAGCCAAAACACACCACCTGGCACACGACCTCTATAGCTCACTTGCCAAAAACAAACAAACAAAAAATTTATTTCACGTACAAAGCATCAATACACCTATGGCATTTAAATTACGTGGACGATGTGTAAGAAAACACTGTCTAAAAAAGCTTCTTACAGAGGCAGGAAAGGTGGTTGAAAACGCTGTGTTTGAATCAGAGTAAAGCTCACGTTTAAGCAACACACAAGCCAACAAGACATCTTTCTACTCGTTTCTTGCCGAACTCAAGAAAACCTGAGCGAGCTACAACTGACCGCAGCGTCTCTCCTTCCACAACAAAGCAAAGTACCGCACCGGGCGGGGGAGTCTCCTCACGACTGCCACCCACTAGCTGGCTGGGGTGACCCGGTATCTAAGGCCCTCGGTGTCCCCAATCCTTCGGGCAGCCTATATGCAACTACCCGACAGCAGAGCTGAGACTCCGCGTCCAGCTCAAGAACTCGTTGCCAAAGCAGTAGAGAAGTGCGGCCCGGAGAACCCATGGGCGCATAGAAAGGCCTCCAGCCCCTGACCGGCCTCTCCCCTCCCCCTCTAGGGTCCAAAGACAATGGTATTCACGGAAACTGCCTTTTCTCGAGGCTCCGATTCGCCTTCCTCCTCCCGTGCACTGCGTTCAGGGAAGGAAAGGAAGGGGGGGGGCGCAAGAGACTAGGCCGCACCAACGACACGCGCGGCCGGAAGGGCTCCCGGAAGCCCAGACCCCGCGCTGTACTCGGGCCCGCCAGGACCAGGTCCGCATGCGCCCTCCTCGCGGCCTCCACCGGCCCCGCCACGCGACCCTGGCGCCGCACCCTCGCAGGCCCCACGAAGGCGGGGCGGCGGGGCCGACGCACAAAGGGGGTGTCGTCCGCGGGGCAAAAGACGCAGGCTCAGGTCTTCCCGGGAGGCGCGCCCGGGCCAGCCAGTGACCTTGAAGGCGTCCCTCCCAGCTCAGAGCCTCAGTTTCCCCTTCTCGTTTACAAAGAACTGCGGCGGCCCAGGCCGCGGGGAAGAACGCCGTGCCATAACGCACGCCTCCTAACTTCCAACGCCTGCCGCTCTGGCCGCGGACAGCCGCGCGCACCGCCAGGCTGCGGAGGAAGAGCGGGCCCGAGCCCTGGTAGGCCCGAGGTCCGGGCTCAGCCGCCGCACCCGCCGAGTCCTCCGCAGAACGCAGAGCCGCCCCCGCCCCCGCCGGCCCCAGCCTCACCTGGAACCGGTTTCTCCCGCAGGCGCCGCAGCCGATGCCCTCGACCTAGAACACCTCAACCACCGCAAGTGAGACCCGCTGAACCCCGACTCGGCCGCCTCAAAGAGCCCCACTTCCGCTCGGGCGGCACCATCCCGCCCTGTGCCGCCCTCATTGGCCCCCGCTGCACTTGCTCCCGCCCTGTCGCCGGTGCTCTACCGGTTTAAGGGGCCGATTTTCAATTCTATTGGGTAAGAAAACCTTCTAGTATCTCTTTGAATTGGGCCTCCTTCCTGTCCCGCCCACACCGCGCGCCCGAGCTTCCACTTCCCGCGAGAGTTCCGCCAGCGGCGTTCTTCTCGCGAGAAGTCGGCCGCAGATGTCTCGGGGCACCGCGGGAGGTGGGTGGTGGTAGCGGCTGGTGGTCGTGTTCCGAGTCGTCCGGCGCTACGCGCCAGTCCCGGCCCATCTGCGTTTCCTCGGCCGAGAATGAGGCCTGTCCCAGGGAAGGTCCCGATTCTCTGCTGATCCGCCGGAACCGGGCTCGGATACGCGCCCCAAATGCCAGGCCCAAGGTGGGCGTGGCCGCGATTCTTCGCTCGGCCACCCCGTCTCTCCCCCCTAGCAGGAGCCCGGGGGTTACTCCGTCTGGGCGGCCTCCGGAGGGGGAGGGAGAAGGCCGGAGGAGAGGAGAGGGGCATGCCGGGAAGCTGCAGGCGGCGGGGCCGGGGTGGGGCGGGCGCTGTTCTGTGATGGAGGAAAGGAGCGCGGAACCCTAGCTTCTGGCGTGCAACTTGAAGGGGACCCAGCGTGTCCCCCCCCAGTCCTCGGCGGAGTCTGAACCGGCGCCATCGTTTAGGCACCTGTTACTGGGATTCATTGTGCCCACCCCGGAGACACCCTAGTGCGTGCAGGCTCCCACGGGGGCCGCCGAACTCGTGGGACTGGAAAATCAGTGGTGGCTTTCTTTTTTTTTTTTTTCGGTCTTTTTGAGACAGGATCTCCCTGTAGCCCCAGCTGGCCTGGAACTCAGATCAACCTGCCTCTGCCTCCCGAGTGCTGGGATTAAAGGTGTGCGCCACGGGCCTGAGGGCTTTTTTAAATTTATTTATTTAATTTTACGTGTATGCGTGTTAGACCTACATGTATGTAAGTGGACCTGTGTAGTGCAGTGTCCGTGGAGGACAGAATAAGTCAGCGGATCCCCTGGAACTGGAGTTACAGTTGTTAGCCGCCATATGGGTGCTGGGATTCAAACCCGGGTCTTCTGCCGCTGAACCATCTCGCCAGTCTTGTGGTGGCTTTCTTGAGTGCCTGTCTCCGAGCTGGGTTTCGGCATGACTGTAGCAACTAGATAATGACGGAGGGAGGGAGAAGATGGTGATAAGCTTTCCTGAGTGCCTGTCTCCGAGCTGGGTTTCGGCATGACTGTAGCAACTAGATAATGACGGGAGGGGAGGGAGGAGAAGATGGTGATAGTGGGTTTAGCAACTAGAAAATGACAGCAGATAGGTAGATGATTTAGTAACTAAAAAATGACAGATGAGTCAGGCGTGGTGGCACATGCCTTTAGTCCCAGCACTTGGGTGGCAAAACCAGGCAGATTTCTGTGAGTTCAAGGCCAGCCTGTTCTACATAGTGAGTTCCAGGCCAGTTGGGCTACAGGGAAACCCTGTCTCAAGACCAAAAAAAGGAAAGAAGGGTCAGAGGCAGACCTGCAACAGGCAAGGAATGTGTCCTTTGTTCAGGGAACACAGCAAAGGGCAGCTAAGACACGGGAGGTTTTGACTTTATGAATTTTAGTGAGCACAGCTGCGGGAATTTGCCCAGTGCCAGAATCTGCTGTCTTGGGTAATTGAAGGTCCTCTTTCATAAGATGATTTCCTCAGGCAGGGCAGGCAAGTTATCTGTGGCATTAAAAGAGGCAGTCTCCTTCACTCTGGGAGGGAGCAGTTGGTAAGGTTTGAGGAAGGCCAGGCTGCCGATTTAGGGCTAGTTGGCCCCTTTAAGGGATTTATGACTTTATGATTTCCTTTAATGAAGCCTATGGCTCTCCTGCAATTCACACATTGTATCACTGGCTTCTAATTTGACAGCCTCATGCCTCAGCTTTCTGAACCCTTGGACTATTTGCAACTTTACATATAGTAAAATTTTTACATTGTGTGTGTACATGTGCTTACCACAGCACACATGGAGATCAGAGAACAACTTGTGTGAGTTGGTTCTCTCCTTCCATCATGTGGATCATGACACTAAAGGTGTGCACCACCATGCCTGGCTTATGTGTATGAGTATCTTGCCTGCATGTATGTAAGTGCACCCATGTTGAGCAATGCCTGTGAGGCCAGGAGAGAGCATCAGATCCCATGGAACTGGACTTACGGATGGTTGTTAGCTGCCATGTGGGTGCTGGGACCCAAACCCAGGTCCTCTGCAAGAGCCGCCAATCCTCTTAACTGCTGAGTCATCTCTCTAGTTTTTCTTTTTGGGGACAGAGTCTTTAATTCAGACTGGCCTGGAATTCACTATGTAGCCAGGCTTGCCTTGAACTCAACTTTGAAAATGCTGAGATTACAGGTGTGAGCCACCACACCTGGCTCCATTTGTAAATTTAATGTATGGGGCTATGTGGTAGCGAACACAAAATTACCACAAATACCACTATTAATGCTCAAGTTAAGTCTCCTCTGAATCTCAGTTGAAAAGTGAACTTGTTCCTTCACAAATTAACCCCCATCTTGGAGAGCAGACTGGCACATCAGTGTGCCCATAGGCTCATACATAGGAACTAGCTAATGCAGTTTTCCTGGGTGTCACACCAGCTACAGAACCTTCATGACTAAGCGGTTGTTGTTAAGGTCTTCTGGACTATAAGGCAGGTGAACTCTCGAGGAGATACAGTCAAGAAAGGTCCAGAAAGAGAATTCATAGCTCCTGGTGCCGCTTCCCTCTGCTCGTCAGCCCCTATATAGATCATACAGGGAGGGAGAGGCAGGGGTTCCCAGTATGAGGGCCCTGGCTGGAGGTTATGTCATAGAGCTTTTACTTTCGAATAAATCATCCCAAATCTCCATGCCCTAAACAGCACGTTGATAGTTCATGAATCTACAAGAGGGGTGAGGCTCCAGTTGTGGCTGGCTTCTGCTGGAATCTGCTGGTTGTAGGACTGGCCTCTCAGGGACAACTGGCACTCCTGCACATGGTGTCATCCTGGCAGGCTGCCCTGAGCATGTTCACATGGGGTCAGGCAGTCTTCCAAGTGAACACAGGACACCGCCACTTCTGTATAATGGCCAAAGAAAGTTACAAAGCCCAAGGCCTGGGTAAGAGGCATCAGGGATAAACTCTACCTCTTAAAATCGTGAGTGTGGGAGAATGTGTGGACTGGAGGACAGTTCTGTGGAGTTGGTTCTCTCCAACTTTACATGCGTTCTGGGATCTAACTCAGGTCTCTAAGCTTGTGGGACAAGTACCTTTACTCACTGAGCCATCCCTCTGCCCTCTACTTTTTTTTTTTTTTAAGTGGGTATTGCTATATGTAGCCAGACTGGAATGAAACTTGCTACTCTGCCCATGCTGGATGGCAATCAATCCTTGATGTTTCCTTCTGCCTCCCAAGTACAGGGATTACAGAAGTGTATCACCAGGCCCAGCAAGACTCTGCCTCTTGACTTCAGCTACAAGGCAATGGGTACTCAGAAGGGGGTACATTTGACCACAGATCCACCACATAGCATCCACTTGCCCCAGCTCTAAGGATAGTCTCAGGCCTGCTCTCCCGCTCAGGTTTATGTAGAGCAGACACCCAAGTGCTCCTGAGCTGGCTGTGCAGTCCAATAGGACAAGGCAGGGAAGGGGCCTTGCTGACTGCCAACCAGCACTGTTGCCAGTAGCACCCACCAATAGGCTAGCCTAAAAAGTGAATGATGTACCCCTCACAGTGTTTGCCGAGGCAGCCATGCAGACTTGCCTCCCCCCCTGCAGGAGCTTGATCAACATTAGCAGTTCACCCTAGGACAGTGACACTTCCTTGTTGTTGAGGCTAAGCAGGCTGGGGATAGAGTTCCTGTGTCCATTGAAGCCCATCCTGCCTTTGGCTTGATATGGGAGCTATTGAAACCCCTTTGAAGTCTTTGGGGTTCCTGAAGGACTCTCTTTGGCCCACTCACCAACACATTCCCCATCCATTTAAATGAATCACACGAGATTTATCTCCTTAAGTGAATTGAATCTGCTCCCAACTTTAGTTCAAGAAGGAAATGGGGATCCGTACTCTACCCTCCCCCCAGTTGTAGGAAAGTCTTGTGGAATTGTTACCATTCTGAATAATGGAGTAGGACTATGATTTTTGAATCTGTTCTTGTCACCACTGATACCTTTTGGGTCTGAAAATACGCTGGGTACAACCTCTCAACTGAGGGGCCGTTTTCTCTGCAGGCCCAAGGAGGAATGGGGTGGGGTGGGTGTCTTCCTCCTAAGATCTTCCTACCCATCTGGCAGTTTCTCCTTCCTGCCCTCACCCTATGGCCTGCATCCAACCTCTCCTTCCTACTGGCCACACATCCTTATTCCTCAGGCTGTTTTACCAGCAGACATCCAATCCACACACCTATGAAGGTTCAGCTTGTCCCAGCACAGGGCTCAGTTCAGAGGCTTTAGACCACGTCTCATCTACCCCGGTACTCCACCCTGTTGGGCTAGTGTCCCCAGTGGCTCCAAAGCTCTTGGATTCAGGCTTTCAGGAATGCTAGCGGCAGGGCACGAAAGGTCGCCCACATTTAGCTGACTCCAGGGGAGAGCCTGGGTCACCTCCTTGAGCACATGAGCCGCGGGGCGAGCGGCGACTACACGCGGCGTGGGAAGGGCCGATCCACAGTCGGCGCTTAGGAATTCTGGCGTCAGGCACAGTCCCTCGCCAGTGGGTTCTCAGTCGAATCCCCCAGGTCCCAACCCTAGGGAGCCCCGGGAAGGTCCGGATTGCGTAATAAAAGTGCAGGAAGGTGGGGGTGGGGGTGGTCTCCAGGGGAAGAGCGGCGGACACTACTTTGCTTTCCGAGCGCCCTCGCCACCCAGGACCTCCTTTCCCAGGGCACCCCTCCACGGGCGGCTGGAGCAGGGGAGGAGCTGGGCACGGTGGCGGGGGACCGGAAGAGCGCCCCTGGCGGGGGGGGGGGGGGGGAAGGGGAGAAGAAGCGGGGGGGGGTTCAGGAGGCCCCCAGGCCGCGGCTCGCCTGGCAGGCCGGGTTCGCCCTCTGCTGCGCCTGCAGCTTGCGCTCGCGGCTCTGCTCCAGCTCCAGCCAGTGCTGCGGCTCCACCTGCGCCTGCGGACGGCGGCGAGAGGAGTATGGGCAGGGGCAGTGCCATGCGCGGTGCGCTCCGTGGTGGCCCACCCACGTCCACCCACAGCCACGCTCACCCCACGCCCACCTCCCGCGCTGCTCACCCGGCTTGGGGGCCGCACGGCGGGTGGCGCGGACACCTGCAGCTGCTCGGCCCGCCTGCGGCGCTCGGCTGCCCTCTCCTCGATCCTGCGCTGCAGCTGCTGCACACGCTGGTGACTCGAGGCCGACTCCGGGGCCGCCGCCCGGGCCTTCTCCTCCCACCTGAAGCACAGCGGGGCTTAGAATCGGGTGCGATCCTACCAGCACCACCTTCTTCCTTTAATCCTCAACGAAAAGAAAAAAAAAAAAAAATGCATTCTGACTTCTTACAGAATTGGGGTTAAGAAAAAAAAAAAAAAAAAAAAAACCCTTTGCCTCACGCTCCCGGTGCTGCTCCCAGACCGCCGAGTGAGTACACCGTCTTGTGCCATCCTGTTCTTACACAGTCATTTCCAACTGCAGGCTTTACTGCCTGCCCCCATGAACAGGCACACCCCGGCCTGGGGCAAGGACACAGGCTCTCCCTGGCCCTCGGCTCCTGGCTTAGGGTCCAGGCCCCGTGGTGCAGCAGTAGCAGGCTGCATGCATGCGGGGGCGTGGGGGGAGCCCACTAACTTTTGTTTAGCAGGAGCTGAATCTTGGGAGGCACTCCAAGTCAACCAGTATATTTGGGGTCTGGTGGGCTTAGGCCAGCTGGGAGGTGGTGGTTCCTGAGATGTATGCCACTCTGGGACCTGCGGTGGCCATCTGCAGGGACACCACCTTCTCTGAATTGCAGCACTTGCTAGAGGACCAAGAGTAGGGCATTGTCTCCCACTGGCAATGAATTAAGCGTCCCTCCACTGTGCACTCCTCCCGGTCCCGCGAAGACACTTTCTCTGGATCCCTCCGCCCAATCCCCCGCTGTTATAATAGGACTTGGTCCTTGGAGCAGCTGTATCCCTGTGGGATGAGGCCAGGAGCCAGATACCAAACCCTGTGCCATAACTGGGCTGCCATGGAACGCTGGCCTGGTTCAAGTCACATGTTCTCAAATAAAAGCTGTGTAGGTTGTGTGCACATGCAACTATGTGTGACCCTAGATACTCGTTTAAAAAGAAAAATATATATATTTTTAAAGAAAATAGACACTACAGTGGTCGGGAGTAAAGCCCACGATGCAAGCAACTACCTCTAAATGGCTGGCAGATTGGCTAGATGAAGCTCCAGTGGAGAAAGGCTTCACTGTGTGCATCGAAGCCCTTGCCCCCGAACTGCTTACCATTACTGTATGATGGGAAACGTCTATTAAGAGTGGTCAGAATTCTTACCAGGGACCTGCCTGGCGGGGGCTGGCGGTTGCTTCGAGGATACCCAGCTGAGGAAGGTGCCTGGCAGGCTTGCTGCGCCTTCCTCACCTGGAGGTTGGCTCCCTGGGACTGGGTACCCACCTCAAGGCGCCTGTTCGCCCCATGGCGGCCCTGCACAGTGAGATCTGCTCCATGGTGTTCTGTAACTCTTGGCTTTTGGCACGTTTGCCCTGGATGATCTGATCGCGCTTCTCCTCCTCCTCACGTTTCTGGGTCTCTTTGAGCAAGGCCAGCCGTTCTCGAAGTTCCACAACAGACATCTCCCCTTCCAGGCCATATCCTGGAATCTTCCAAGTAACAGGGGAGATCCCAAGCTGGCAGCTGTTCATGTCTGTCTCCCCTTTCCTCCGCTTCAGTTTGCCTGTGCAGTCCCCACTGGGATCTCTGGGCTGGAGTGTTGCGCCTTGTGGGGCTGTGCTGGGCTGGGTGAGACCCAGCTCCCAGGGCAGTCATCCTAGCTCCGCCCCTTTGCTTCCAGCAAGCTGGCTCCTCTGCTTTCTCACACAGGCTGTAGGGCCTTCCTCTTGGCCTCAGCTCTCCTCACTCCCCTTCCCACCCCAGGCCTGGAGAGTCCCAGGACCTCACCCCTCAATATGCAGCTCCCCACGTGGCTACCCCTTCCCCACCCTCAGAGATCCCTTTACTCCTTGTAGTGATTTCCTTCTAATTAAAGTAGGCCATCCTGGAGGAAGGAGGATCAGAAACCTAGGGAAGTAAAGGAAACTTAGAAGGTTCCAGAAGCTCACAAAGTTATGAGAGTCACAAGGCTTCTCCCATGATCACATAAGCAATAATAACTGCTGGAGGGGGGATTCTGAGCAGCTGAGCTGTCAGAGGCCCTGGCAGGTTGCCTTCAAGTTGTGCAGAGAGCTCCAGGGATGCAGCCTTCTGAGCTTGCCCTCATCCTGCGGTGGGATGAGCTTTCTGGTGATGCAGCAACCTTTGAGTCATCTATGCCCCTATAAGTAACCCTTACACCTATGCTCCTATGAAAGGCTTCTGTAAACCCACATGGTTCAGTAGATTAGACTAGGGTGGAATTGTTTCTTTGGTCTGTGGTTAGTTCCTTATCTGGAATTCATGGAAAAGTCACAATGCAAGCTCCATCTGTCCTGCTGCAGCACATACATATGCCCAGGGGATTGGGGTAGGACAAGACTCACCTTAGGTCTTAATGGAAATTCTGGACATGCTGGTACCACACAAGGAGACACCCTGAAGCTGTAGCCTTCAGGGGCCACATTCTTACCTGGGTCAGGTCCACCAACTTGTCCTTGCGAGTCGGCTGTGTCTCCAGGGCCCGCAGCTGGGTGATGAGCTCACAGCGTCGCCTCTGCTCCTCCTTGGCTGCCTCCGAGCTGCGCTGAAGTAATTCCCGGCTCTCCTCTATCACCTCCTGAACTTGGGGACCAAGTAGGGTGCTGATGGGGCCAGTGGATGGTCTGGCAGGCCCTGGGCAGACTCTCCATATCCCAGGAGTGTCTTCAGGCCTTGACCAGTGTGCTCACCCTCTTAGTCCTAGTCCACCCTCCAGGGGCACCGGCCCCCACTGACCACAGCAACTTGCTCAGGTGAGGATACCAGCCCAAGACAGGAGGTCAGTCCAGGAACCCAGAAGGACCCAAGAGAATGGAGCAGGCCTTATGTCAGCTGACTCCCTGAGGTACCTCTCTGCCGTCGTCCCTTCATGAGCTTCATCTGTGCCACCTTGACATTGTTCTGTGCCTCTGTGACCTGCCCCACCAGCTCTTTCATGCACTTGTCCTCATGGAGGCGCCTCTGTGCACACTGCAGCATCCGCTCAGCTGTCTGCTCAGACAGAGACCTGCTCCAGTGAGAACTGGGCTGGGTCCCCTGCCCTATCCTGCCCCGTCCTAGAAGCAGCCTGAGGTCTTGGTGGTGGGGGCACCCAGTCAACTCTGTCCCAATCAACCCAGGACCAGCAGCTCCTAGACAGTCTAGTTCCTTCGAAGTTGGTCCTGCCGGGGTAGTTCTACCTTGTGTCCTTCTTCCTCCCCAGGGTTCTCCTGGGGTTGAATTTCTGGCATTTTGTTATGGCAGCTCTAGAAACTAATGTACATGATAAAACTAGAATCTCACATTGGGGGGAACTGAGTCAGGAGCATCTGGGAACCCTCTGTACTGTCTTTGCGGGTTTTGAGTCAACCTTAAAACTGTCTTAAAATAAGAGGTTTATTTTTTAAAATTACTTTTGAGCCACTCATGGTGGCGTATGCCTTTAATCCCAGCACTCAGAAGGCAGAGAGGCAGGCTGATCTCTGAGTTCAAAGCCAGCCTGGTCTACATAGTGAGACCCTATCTCAAAAACAATTACTTTTGAGGGGACGGGATTAGTTCAGTAGAAAAGCATGTGCTTAGGGTGTACGTGCCTCGGTTTGAACTCCAGGATCTCATGTAGCCCAGGCTGGCCTGGAACTTGCTATGCGGTCAAGGATGACCTTGAACTTCTGATCTTCCAGGTTCTACTTCTCAAGTGCTGAGATTACACGCGTGTACCACCACACCTTTTAAGTTTGAAATGTTTTTGTATTCCAAGCTTGCCTCAAATTTGTGAAACAGCCCAGGCTGAAATTGAACTCACAATCTTCCTGCTTCAGTCACCCAAGAACTGTGCTGCCATGCCAGGCTTCCAATTTTTTTTTTAATTAAAAAAATTTTTTTTTATTCTGAAGACTGAAACCCAGAGCCGACTGTATGCCTTACCATTGAGCTACATCTTTTACCTCACTTTGAAATTTTGTAGTAAGTTGGAGGAATACTTAATGGAAATTGAGGTATAAAAAAGTGGCTATTAAGCGGGGCGTGGTGGCACACGCCTTTAGTCCCAGCACTCGGGAGGCAGAGGCAGGTGGATCTCTGTGAGTTCAAGGCCAGCCTGATCTACATAGTGAGTTCCAGGACAGCTGGGGCTATAGGGAGACCATCTCAAAAAGACCAAAAAATGAAAAGTGGCTATAAAAAGTATATGTGTTGGGGCTGGAGAGGTGGTTCAGTGATGAAGAGTACTGGCTGCTCTTGCAGAGGACCCGGGTTCGATTCCTAGCACCCACATGGCAGCTAACAACTGTCTGTAACTCCAGTTCCAGGGGACATGACACCTCTTCTGACTTTCTGTGGGCATTGCACAACACAGGTACACTTACACTACATGTAGGCAATCCACTCATACACATAACCTTAAAAAAAAAGGATATATGGAGTCATTTTTGTCTCACCTATTAATCTAGACTGGCCTCTAACTCCTCTTGCATCAAGCCTCCCATGTGCTGAGGTGACAGGCATGTGCCAGCTACCACACCTGTCTCAAGTAAACCAGGAGAAGATGGCTGGCCCTGTACTGTGGCCTCTCCTAAGCAGAATTACAGGGATCTCCAGCTTGGCTACACCATCTGGAACCAGGTTGAAAGAGGGGCAGAGCAAATGGTAGGGGGTGGGGGGGTGACTCACATAGGGGGTGAGGGCAGGTAAACTCATGGCCAGGGAGCACCAGTGCGATCGGAAAGGTGACACAGCTCCATGGGTAAGCCATTAAACTCAGAGATTTCGAGACTGCTTTTGCTGAAAGCACTTTTACTTGGGCCACAGGGTGCCTCATCTCTAAAAGCAGGATAAAAGCAGGGCATCTTTGCCTTCATTCTGTGTCTGTCTCCTTCACTCTTAAATTTTGAGTCCAACTCTTGCTCCATTTGGCATCTAAACATAACTCTTTTAAGGTTGTCTGTCACCCCCCTCCTCCCAGTGATGAAAACACCAAGTTAACAGCGGTAGTTTCAAGATTTTCAGGGACAACATAATCAACAGCTTTTCAATGTACTATACAGACCATAGGGATAGCAACCAAGGGGTCTCCAGTCATTGCCCTGGACCTGAGCAGACTAACTCCACCTTGCCTACCACCATCACTTTCAATTCCAGAAACAACCAGTCTGGGTCTGATATGATACTTATGTGAGGAGTTAACTCTCCTCACACACACACACTGGTTGTAAACAAGGTCCCACCTGACCATCCTGAGATAGTGATGAACTAAGCCATGGTCTGACCAACCATGGTCTGACCAAGAGTGCCTGCTCTGCTTGCCATGCAGTCTCCACCTATGCAAGCTCCGGATATGCAAGTCCCCAGTTATGTAGGTTCCTAGCTACACAAGTCCCTAGCCTTTGCCATCCACCCATCTTCCTTTTTTCAATACTGGGGATTGAGCCCAGGGTCCCCCACATGCTGGGGAAACATCCCTCCACTGAGTTTCACCCCCAGCCTTTTTTCATATTGAGACAGGGTCTTACTGAATTGTCCAGGCTAGTCTCCAATTTGACATCTTCCTGTCTCAGCCTCCCAAACAGCTGGAATTATGGATGTGGGCCACCAGGACTCCTTTGTTCCTCTAAAACCTCAAAGCTGGGAGATATATCTTGGCTGGTAGAGTCTTAGTGTGCATGAAGCCCTGGGTTTGATCCTTAGCACTAAATAAACTGGGATTGGTGGCACATGTCTGTAATATTGGCAGTTGGAAGGCTTCGGCTACATAATGAGTACCCATACCAGCTTGGAGATGTAAGACCATGTCTCCAAAAATCAAAATACTTCAAAGCTTTCTCAGCAGGCCAAGGAGGCCAGTCTCCTTTCTGGGATGGCTATCCTGCTTTCTACATTACTGTTTCCATTTGGTTTTTGTGGTGACAGTACATTGTTGGGATTACCCAAGTCAGGCCTCCCCTGGCCTAGGCCTCCAGTGCCAAATACACAAGATTTTAAGTTTTATCATCTGTAAGCAGCTGCCATGTGACCTATGTCAAAATATGGGCTTCCCTGAGTTTATTTCGTATGTGTGTGTGTGTGTGCACGCTTGTGCCACATGGTATGTGCAGATGCCTGTGGAGGACAGAAGGCCTCAAATCCCCTGGAGCTTGACTTACTGGGAGTTGTGAGCCACCTGACTTGGGTGCTGGGATCTGAACTCTGGTCCTCTGGAAGAACAGCAAGCACTCTTCACCACTGAGCCATCTCTCCAGCCCCTTTTTCCTTTAAAAATCTTTTTTCTTGCCATGCCGCTTCCTCAGTTGTACTGGGCACAGTGTACAGCATGGGGCAAGGACTCCAGAGGGTCGCCATCATGGGCAGTATAGGCATTAGTACAGTAGTAGGGGTCAGCACAGAGAAGTGAATGTGTGGAGGAAGAAGAGGCACAGAGGCTAGGAGCAGGTGGGCATGGGCCAGGGGTGGCAGATGGGAACAGGTGTTTGAGGAGTCATATGTTCCAGACCCTCAGCAAGGCTGGGATCACCAAGGAGGTCTGTGGCAGAGCAGCCAGGTAGCTGAAGCCTAGGGTGAGACACCTGTCTCCTCTGATGGAAACCTCAGACTGAGACCTGGAGTTGCTAGGGGCCAGAGTTAATGAAGGCAACCTTGGAGTTCCAGCAAGTTCCCCCAGATCTCCCCTCCTGAACACACACAATAGGACAGCACCTGTACAAGAGCTGGTCTTTGAGACCTTCGTGGGGCAACTTCAGAAATAACACAGGGCTGGAGGTGCAGTTCCGTGATAAAGTGCTTGTCTAGCATGTATGAAGCCCTGGGCTTAATACCCTACACTGCAGAAAAAGGGGAAAAGCCCACAGAACATGTGGGATGACCTTTATGTGACTGGAGCCAAGTGGAAAAGCACTAAGAGCTGCCAGACTACATCAGACTGAATACTTCAGTAAAATGTACTCAAAGAATGGTCCCCATGACAACCAGCATGTGAAATGTTACTAGTGAATTTAGAATTACCACTGGTACAACTGTCCTGCACTGGCCTCACTGTGATGATGGGTCAAAAAGCAGGTTTCATTCAATGTAGCTAATTTGTGTGGTTCATCAAATTATTTTAAAGGGGGTATAAAACTAATTAAGAAATATCAGGAGTCAAATCAACATTAGAGCAAAGTTAAAAGAATCCAAAGCCCTCTTCTGACCCCAATGGCATTGCATGACACAGGTGCACTCACATACATGCAGGCAATACACTCATACACATAAAATAAAAATATTTTTTACAAAAAGAAAATCACTAAATGCTCTTAACCACTGAGTCATCTCTCAATCATGTGCTAATAAACTATAGCCTTAATTTCTGTACACGGCCCCTATAGTCCTGCCGGGTCATGATGCCCTTTATCTCCCAATCTGTCTGTGCTGCTCCAGAGCCTTCAGAAGTCTTTCTTTCAAGATGTAAAATGTTTGGACCTAACCTTGTTTTTGTTTTTTTTTCTGCTCAAGATCCAGTTAATTAGCTAGGTATGGTGGTGCATGCCTAAAAGCCTACCTCATGGGAGGCTGAGGCAAGAGGACTGTGAATTTGACCCCAGCCTGGGCTACACAGTGAGATGGTGACTCAAAAATAAATAAATAAAAAGACCCAGTTATTCTCCAACAAGCCCTTGTGCCTTGCTGTGGAAGCCAGTATTAAGTTCCAGCTCTGTTTTCTTCCATAGTGAATAGTAACAAGTACTGTCAACAAGGTTGAAGAAGAGTGTATTTTAAAATCGTGTGTGTAGCAGTGAGTTGGTATTTTTTTTTTTTTTTTTTTTTTTTTTGTCTTTTTGAGACATGGTCTCCCTATAGCCCCAAGCTGTCCTGGAACTCGCTGTGTTCCCAGCACCCATATGAAGGCTGATGCCCATTATTAACTCCAGTTCCAGGAGAGCTAAAACCCTCTTCTGGCATCTGTGGGCACCAGGCATACCTGTGGTACACTTACATACATGTAGGCAAAACACACACACACAGAATCTTAAAAATGCTAG